TGGATCCGGTTCGTAAGTCAAGGCGAGTTCGTAAGTCGAGGTAAATTTTTGGGGCCGGAGCTGATCGTATCTCGAAAATTTCGTAAGTAGGGGCGTTCGTAAGTAGAGGTACCACTGTATAGCTGAACTATGGTATTCACAGCTAATGTGGTAATTTAGAAGGGGACTACAGACAATGCAAGAAAGATCAATGGCTACTAGTTTCAATGGCTGTGAATTACCACCTGAATCATAGGTAGCTGCTATATAGCCACAGTAGACCAAAACTATTATCCTTCTGTCTCAGATTGTGAACTCTTTGAATCTGGCTGGCCATATGAAACATTGGATTTGATAAGTCATAGTCTGAGGCAACAAGGTTATTATGTTCTTATGTCAAAATAGCAAATGCTATTTTATAGGACATAGATCTATCCCTTAATATTTAACTTTAAAAAATCATATTCCTGATTCACCTATGACTATATGCAAAACATGCACATTTCTGTTTCAATGGCTATAAAATACCATCTGTTTAACTCTAGGGAAATCTTAGTGTCTGCTGCTGCTTGACAAAGCACCACTGGAAGCAAGATAGAGAAAAAAGGAATACAGCCATTCAGTGATCTTGTCCCCATCTAGTAAATTGTTATTACCATAGGTTTGGCCTTATTTGTAGGCTTCAGGATGCACATTTATTGAAGAAAAACATAGACACAAAATGATATTAAACACAACTTAAACAATACATATTATTACCAGTTTGTAGCATATTGCAAATGCAAGCAAGTAGGTGTCTTGGCTGAATCTGACGTTTTCCCTGTCCATTTCTAATAGCACTTCCAGAGCATCTGTTGAATGTAATTTTAATTTTAAGCATTACTTCAGTATTTGTAGATAATCGCACACTCCAACTGCTAATTAATAATATTTGCAACTGAAATAAATTATTTATTAAAAAAATACTTGGGAGATCAGTTAAATACCACTAAATTCTTTATTTTAACTCACGAGTTCTCAACTTTTGGGGGCAAATAGGTTTTTTTGGCATATTTGAATGCCTGTCATAAATTCTGCCATAGGAAGAGCTTGATATATACAATGGTTGCCATGGTGGGTGGCACCAGTCACAAAACACTGATTTATCAGGAGGCAAACTTGTAAAGTTCTTACTATAGTTATCTTTTTTCCATTTTTTAATAGGCAAGCACATTTCCAGAGGAAGCACTAGGATACAGCTGCTTACCACTTTTACTTTCCAAGAATGCCTATGGGATCCATATGCATTCTTGTAAGCTAAGACAATACTAGATTAGTGCACTGCAATTATAGCATGTATTAAAAATTACATTAGGTGGAGCAAAGACCTGGTAGGGGCCAAGGAATATGGCTATCAACAATGCAGCCCATGGTCTCCATGTTGGGGACTCCAATTAGAAATGAGTTATACCTAACTTCTAAGATTCCAAAAGTTTAATAAAAAAGTAGAAAAACAAGGTACTATGTGATAGTGAAAAGCTTGGTATATCAATTTTTGTTTTATTGTTACTATTTATAACTTGTAACAATTGGAATAAAATTGCATATTAGGCTTCAGCATTGATGTCCAAATATAACTTTGTTTGCAATTCTTGCATCATGCAGTGATTAGAAAGGGTGATTCTGCATCTGAATTAGGGGTCTTTCAAAATTACAAGTTAAAAATATTCCCAGGGACCCACAACCATTACAAAATCTTCGACAAATACAAAGGCAGCATCTGAAATTTAAAACATAAAGTGAATGATGTCTTGCAAAACCTCACGGCAACATGTCTTGAGATTTGGGTTTTTCTGAAAAAGAATACCATTTTGATTCCATTTTGGAGGTCCGTGAATGATATCTAGAAATGTCATAAGTGCTGTGGTGCTGGCTTTCAGTTTTAAATGGCATAAACATGCAGCACTATACACACTTACTTGGAATTATTGTCTAGAACAGTGTTTTCAACCTTGACAGCCTAAAGATGTGTGGACTTCAACTCCCAAAATTCCCTAGCTAGCATGCTGGCTAGGGAATTCTGGGAGTTGAAGTCCACACATCTTCAAGTTGCCAAGGTTGAAAAACAATGGTCTAGAATGACTCTTCCTTCCTAATAGACATGTACATTCAATGCCATGTACCATGGAGCAAAGGAACTGCTGTCTCAGATAAAATTCAATCCTGTCAAGATTTAAAATTTCCCAGGCTTCCAAAAGAAAACAACTGTACAAGTGACAAAGTAGAATTTTTTAAAACTCCAAAAAAGTACTAAGCATGATTACACTCACTGAACGAAAACAAACATCTAATGAGCACAGAATTAAGAGAGGTACAATTATCTTTATGAAAAGTGTTATAGCTCTTTAACACCCAAGAATAATCATGTAAAGTTTCTTAGGAGATCGAATTATTCTGTGGCAAACTGTATTGTATTATTATTTGATTCATATTATCTTTCCTTTACCTTCATAATGGCCTTTTTCAAACAACATGTTCATTAATATATTGAATGATGTGTTATCTCCAAAGAAGCCTTTTAGAGTCTGAAAGGAAAAAAAAGAAACAAAATATATACCTCTATTGACTGTCTTAATCCAAATATTGTTTCTACTGAAACCATTCTATTCATAATGCTTGGGAAAAACTCTTGGATAAAAATTCAGGGCCTTAAATTTCAGTTTCATACTCGCCAACTGTGGATGTTTATTTAGGAGAGAACAGCTTTATCATTCTTAGTGGAAAATACATTTATCACTACACTACTTCTGAGGATAAATTTTCAGAGGTTAAAGGGTGATTTATTAGAAGACTGGTTTGAAAAGTTCTTGGCAATGCGAAGACCACGGAATGTGTTCCTTTGGATCTTAATCATAGGCTGTAGTAGACTGTACTCAAACCTTGGAGTAATCCCCAATGAAGTGAGTAAGACCTACTTCCAAGTGTTGAATCCCATGTAACTGGCAAGACCAAGAAAGCAAGAGCAACTAGGATTTCGGGAAGATTTCTTTAATGCTAGTCTGAGATAAGTACAGAATCTTGAAAACTCTGAGAAGAATATCTCAGCCTTAGTTATAGTGAATTGATTAAGGTGAAGTTTCTATCAGAATCTCCAGCAATCAATCTATCAGTTCATTAGTTGCTTGCTTCGTTTCTGCCATTTGTTTAGTAGGGGGGAGGGGGGAGTAAGGAAAGGGAGACCATTAACCCAGATGGACTGTTATCCAAAGTCAGGAATGTACAAGGTTGTACCAACATGAAAACCAGGACTGGCTGAGAAGAAGGAGGGGTAACAAGGGGGTAAAAGTAGAGTGAGAAAGCTCAGGGTTTTAGTTTCAGCAATGCTTTAAAGCTGTATGTGCATCTCAATAAATGAACTTCTTTTTGAACTTATTACGAGTTTCAAGAGATTTTTCTTCGTTGGGATTGGAACATAACAGACCTGACAGTTTCTTTGAAATGCTTTTTCTCATATCTAACAGCAGCTGGACTGAGTTACCTGTTCTGAGATGAACATTCACCCATCTTCTCCCCCGCCTTTCCACTATCCCTTGCTCCAAGTATACCATAGGATTACACAGTTAATCTCCAAAATTATGCCAGTTACATTTGTATAATTATTATTCCTATCAATGAAATAGCAATACTAAGCTCATCTTTTAAAAGCCAAATTCTCTGTAATTGTGAGGATGATCTACAAGCAAAACCGAAGATTTGTGTAAGGTTGCTGCTGCTTTTAAGATTACAATTACTTTACATATATATTTTAGTTCTATAGAGCCATCCAAAGATCTATAACAACAATTAAGGTGTCTAAGATATATTATTTAAGGTGGCAAAGAAAGTTGCTTTAGAGAACAAATCTGAATTAATGCTAGAATGTGGATGTTGATGGTATAAACAAATCCTCTGTATGACAGATATTCATGTTCTGGTAACCTGATAGATAATCAATATGCAGACTTGTGATCCAAAGAACCAAAGTGTTTGCAAAGAGACACAATCTGGCATGCCAAGAAGCCCCCGTTCACTTCCCAAAATAAAAGCATGGTAAAGACAGGGTCCCTGAGATCCAACCAGGGCAAAAGATTCTCTAACACACATACACCCCTGAAAGTGAACAAATAAATCAGAGACGGAAGAGTGTTTACAAGGCTGGTATCTCTGAATAACTAAGTCGTTTCAGACAATACCTCTTTTGACAACTGATACATCATTTAAACAGTGGCAAAAGGATATATCTAAGTTTGTGCAGCAGGGGAAAAAACCATGAGTTAAATACAAGGTGTTACAAGATGCAAAGGAAAGAGAAGGATTGGGTTTACCTGACTGGAAATTGTATTTTGCAGCTTGCTGTTTGGTTTGGATGAAAGAGTGGGTGCTGCTGAGAAGGCTCTTGGAGTTAGAAGGACATGACCTGAGATTTGGGTGGCGTGGATATTTGTGGTACAATAAAGTCAAGGTTAATGTGGATTTTAAAAATAATTACATTAGCAGGCCATATTGAGAATATGGAATAGATACAAACCCAGGTTGTGTCTGAAAACACCTTTGTGGCTCTCAGCACAAGGAGCATTTTATAGATAAGAAATAACAGGCAAACACAAATGGCTAACTCATCATGAGATACTAGAATTTTGTCAAGGGCAATACAAAGTAAAATTAAGAGAAGAACTGGTGGGATATAGTTGCCAATGGTTTTCTTATTTACAGCTATTAGAAAGATTTAAAGTAGACAAAAGAGTTTATGGTATTGAATGTTGTAAGACTGATTTTGAAATAGAATTGTGTACAAATGATAAACATGTAATTGCTAAAACTTTTATGGCATTTGAAACAGAAGAAGAAGTAAAAGAATGTATGATAAAGTGGGCTAAATTTTTGGTTATAATATACAGATTGAACAATGGTTGTATAGGAAAAAAAAAATTGCCCTGTGGGTTGAATTCCATAATTAGAATAAAAGAAAGTAAAAACAATACAAACATCCTGAATTTTACCTGGTCTTTGATGAGTTCCAGTGCAACTGCTTCAAGGTCTAGTTCATAACATAGCCTCATAAATATAGGTCCAAATCTGAACTCTCCAAAGGCCCTGTTTCTGTTCTCTTCATGATACCTGAGTAGAAGATAGTTTTTTGTTATGATAATTTAGCTTAAACACCAAATAGAGAACATAGAGAAAAAAAATAACCTCAGTATGAATCTCCCACAAGATAGACACCAACATGCTGTGAAAAAACAGAATTTTACAGCTACTTGCTTAGGATTTCCAGAAAACCAATGTCATTTAAATATGACAAAACACAAAATAGTGACAACCCCCTCCCCATTCAACAAGAGAAGCTTACATTATCTCACCAAAGTAGCTCTTTCTATCAAATGAATTTTGGATGCTGGTACAAGATTCTATATACTTTTTCCTTTTATGTTTTGATTTACATTATTTCTATGAGAATGAAATATAAATATTTCAGTAATGTACAATGTTGTTCTTGAAAAGACATTTAGGAAGAAAAATCAAATGTAAAATCATTAAGAATAGTCTCATTATAAAGCTCCCCTGTTGTCACATGATCAGAGATAGACCAAAGAAAATACAAATGAAAGTACATGTTATTTGAATGACTCTTACCTGTATATGGTTCTTTTGACTAACTCTATTTCATTTTTGGATTGGCACAGATATAGTAGATTTACTAATTCATTTTTGAGGATAAGTGTATTATTTGCTAACTTTTCTTCAATAGTCCTGAAAAACTCATCTGAAATTGAAATAATTGTATATCATTTATACTGTATTCAGTTGTATTTATAATCGGCTATTAAGTTTATATACGTCATTGCAGAGGCAGGTAGAATAAAACCAAGCTTATCATTGCTTTGCTTTATATGTAGGATGATCTGACTTCCTAGTTTTGCTGGGACAGTCCCAGTTTTGGGGGAGGTATCCTGCATATCAAGCACATCCCCCCACCCAGTAAAATATCCTGGTTTCCAGCTTGGCCCAGCTCAAACAGCCAGAAGCTCAAGCTTGCCAGGGCAGCAGCAGGCTCATTTGAGTCACAGAGCATGAAATTGCATCTGTGTTCCCTGCTCATGATGACCAGGGCTACCATGCCTAGGCTACCAAAAGCCACACAGCCTCTGGATGGCAACAAAGATGCTGTGACGGCATGTCATCTCCTCCCCGGACCCCTCCAGTGCCAGCAACCACAAAATGGATGGAAGGGAGAGGCAGGTTTGGTGCTGGGTTTGTTGTTGTTGTTACTGGTCATCTAGAGGGAACACTGTGGGACTGTTAAGTGCTTCTAGGTCAGTTGCAGTGAAAACAAGTGCAAATAGGTTTCACACTGTTTCTGTGCAGGTGCATCTGCAGAGGGCACAAAATAATGCAGTGCAACACCGCCTTTATTATTCTGACAAAAGCATCAAGTTCCCGTGGATGATGATATTTCTCTGGGCTTGGGGGTGAACCTACCTCCTGTTAGATAGGCTGGAATAATGATTATATCTACTGTTAAACAACTCTTAGACAAAAGAATGCTCTGGATGACAGCTCAGAAAGTGATCATTTACCCGTCAGACTGGAGTTGCAATTGCAAAATATATACTGAACTAAAATGAAAACTGAAGATTTTTGAAGCTGTTTCAGATGACCTCTCGACTCTGATTTCAACATAAGGAATTACTTGTATAAAAATTAAGATATTAAATGAAAATATCCCATTTCAGACTGTTCAGTCTGAAAACTTTCTGGATATAATTGACTTTAAGGTATTTTTAGTATTAACTGCCATATCAAAAGTTTCCTGAAAATTTAGTAGGTTTGATCAGATGATGAAAAGAAGTAGATTTATTCATTATTGAGAAAGGTCTGGATCTAACAACTCAAGCAATTTTTTGACTTCATCACAGAGAGAATAAAAATCTGATTAGACAAAAAGAAGTGGAATTTGAGCCCAGTATCAGGAAATAACTGGGTTGTAACCCAGTAGATCTGATCACCTACTTGGATACAACCTCCCAGAGTTGCTGGGTGGAAAATTCTGGGAGTTGAAATCCACATATCTTAAAGTTGCAGAGATTGAAAAACACTGTACTAGAGAAATATAGTGAAACAGGACAATAGGAATAAGTCATACATACAGATAGAATGTTATCAGTAATATATTTGTTTATATAATAGTAATTGACAATTTACAATTGTCTTTTGTAAAATTATCCTTATTTATTTTTTATTTTGTAAAAAGTTTCCCTGAACCTCAAAAGAGAAGTACAAAACAACCTCTGTAGGGAAATACAATCTCTCTTCTCTGAGAGGTTAAGGAAAGGTAGACTGTATATGCCATTCTGACAGTGCTTCTGGATAACCCTTCCTACATCTGCTGAGCACCAGGACCTGGATAGCTATTAAAGCTAATGCACTGTATAGAATAACATCTGGCTACCCACATCTGAAAAGTCCCATTAAGGATGACACTGGTCACAAGGTGCCTCCTTGTAGTCAATTAACGAAACAAACCAACGGTCCCTGTTTCCAGTGCTTTTCGTCGGTATTGAGTCTGGTTTTGATTTCAAAAGAACCCATGACATTCCTTCTGTGATTTGATTGCAGATGTGAGTTGTCCATCTGAAGGTATGAGATCTCATATATACAAGAGCTGTACATGTTTCAAAAATAATTTGAAACAAGTGCTTTGGACATAAGGTAAACATAATATTTTTCTGCTACTCATTAAAGCAGATATATCTTTTTTCAGGTTTCTACACGGACCCAAAAAGAGAAACAGATGTTTTAAGAATCGCTTTAATGAGTCCGTTCACTGAAGCAGTTGCATTGTTTTTTCAGCTTGTACAGAAGAACAGAGAGGTGTTCACACAATATTTGAAGCACGTTTTTGGAATCACTTTTGAATAATGCATACCCCTAACACATACTTACTCAAAAGTCCTGAAGTTAATTGATATTTATTCTTGGTAGGAAAATATAGCATTGCATTGCAGATAAATACTATTTTCTTGGAAGATGCTTACAGAGACAAGAGTACCTTAGCTATCATACTGTGTGGACTGGCACAATTATAACTTGTTCATCACAAATTAAAATTATGCTCCTCAATTTTTATTTGCAAACAATTAATCTGATGTAAATACCTTTTTGGCCATATATTTTGTATTCACTTTCCAATTTCTTTTCCTGAAACTTATGTAATTGCAGAACATCTTCTGTTAACAAATAACGTTTTGCTGAAAATGGAACAAGAAAATACAGTAATGTTTTATTCTTACTTTATCCTAAAAATAACCATTTTAAACTTTAATTAAATAGCCATACTTCCAACTAGAAAAATGGCACAAGACCTTGGAGACTTATTTCCTTTATGCAATTAATGCTATTCTGATGTGACATGATTACAAGCATTGTATTGTAATACTTTAATAAGTTTCCACTATGTTCACTTCTAGTGTAACAGTAAAATTCAATCAAGTTTTGCAAAATAAACTTTAATAAGTTCATTTCCTCAAGAACAATAAGTGTCAAGCATATAAACTCATCTCTCTATAAAGTATGGTTTTCTATTATGTTCAATCTCAGGAAACTTTAGTTTACCTTATCTTACAAGGATCGGAATCCTATTTGTTTCTATCTGGTTAGAAAAACCTTTACTTTCCTTGAATATGATGCAAGAAAAAGCTGAATAATTCAAAGTCCAAACCACCGCCACCAGCCTTTTCTTTTTTCATCACTCATTCTTCTAAATCATGAGCAGACAACTCCTGTGGTTTTCAAATTTCTCTTTTGCAGTTCCTTGAGCCCTAACTGACTGTAACTACTGGAAATCATTAGCATACTTTCCCACCATTTTAAGGGACAAAATATGCATTAAGTATGGTACAACTCCTATAAGCTTAACATAGTTTAAAAAACAGACAAGACTATCCTAACCCCACCTTCCCAAAATGTAAAAAAACAAATAGAACATCCTTGTCTTGTCCATATGTGTGACTTGGTCTTATCCACTTTTCATTATTGGTCTGCTAACTATAGTCTTCACTAAAAAATTGTTAGGTGTGACCCCTAGACATTAAACACTGTCCACCTCATCATAATAATGGATTCAATTTAAATCTGAACTGGGCCAATATAGTCTACCAAATCCTTTTACACATTCCTCCCTTTATTCTTATTCACCCATTCCCATTCATACAGTGCATACTTGCATAGTACTGATAAAAAAAAAAAATACATTTCTTGTATTCCTTGACTTTTTGACAACACATTATATAAACACAAAACATCTTCTATTTGTACTAGCGTACTTGCCTCCCCTAATTTGACTTTCTCTTGATGTTGATGGAAAGAGTTCGCAGGGAACACAGCCAAAGAAATTCTAGTCCCAACAAATAATTAGTACTCTCCCTCTCTAATCTATATTTCCAGAATATACTACGTGCCAAGTTGGGGAGCAGTGTATATGCTATCTTGAGCTCTTGAACAAAAGGTGAAATATAAATCAAACAAATAAACATAGGCTCTTTGTATGTTGATGAAGATTCTCAGTCATCCAGGTGGAATTATCTGGAGGTTGAGTCATGGCAACTGGACTTCTTTTCTTTTGGTTTGATACGTTTCGCTGCTTGTCCAAGCAGCTTTTTTAGTCTAGAAAGTTGGCTAACCCAGAATCAGGTACTGACTTTAGTGTTCTCATGCAACTATCTAAACTGAACTGATTTCTTTCTAGTTCAGTTGCAGTACATTTGAAATCACAGAAAAGGTAAGCTTTCCATTAGCAACAACAAATTCTTGTATTCCCATTGGTGGAAATGTTTGCCACATCCTACCTCTAGGGGTTCAGTTGATGCAGCATACTATTCACAAGTCCTAAAGGGGAAAGATGGCTTGACAGCTTTAGTAGTCCCTTCTGCTGCAACTGCTCAGCTTTCCTTTTTGCCCATGACCAGATGCACAATACCCTGCTGATTCCACTTCAAAACAGCAGCCAGGATGGATCAGGATTATTCTGCAGATTCTTACAACTGTTCCCATGCATATAGTGGAGTCTGGGGTGAAATTGACATGAGCCCTCCTTTTTGGCAGAAGAACTGTTTGATTTTTTCCCCAAGGACTTTGTTGTGAATGAGTTGGCATTGACAGAGAACAGGGGGGAGGGGTACAGCAACATGCTCCCCAAATTTGAGATGTACCCATTTATCCAAAAAGATGATCTAGCCCAATCCAAACTTTTCTCAACTCTGAGCTTATTTACCTGATCATTGCAACTATCTAGTTTTTTAAAGGAGTGTTGTAAACTGGATAAATACAAGTGGCAACTGTGTATATTTAACTTAGCATCAACTAAGAATCACCAAGTTAAACTCTTTAATGTTTGACACATGCTAACTTGCATTATAACTGCCATCTACTAAAAAAAAAAAAAAACCCCACCTAAAATTAGTTAATCACTATACACATGTTTTATATGTGATCAGAACCCAAATATTACATATAATAGTCTTTTATCTGAATAAAATGGTATAACTGAGAACTGCATATGTGGATCTGACTGGGGTAAACTATAGGGGTGGTACAGGAATAAATATTTTCGTTTAGTTCTGCTTTTTACTCTGTTTTGTTATATATGGTCTTATTGTCTTCTGTCTTATAATCTGATATGGCTCCTGGCTAATCAATCAATAATAATAATAATAATAATAATAATAATAATTTGTATGGCCGTCCATCTTAAGACACAACTCTGGGCGGCTCACAATTGTTGCTGTTATTAATGACTACACATTACAAATCCCAGAGTCCTGCAAAAATATCCTGCTGCAAAGCAGCCTTTCCATTTATCCGATCACTTTTTAAAGAGGGACCTCGAACTTCCACCCCACTGTCTTCTCTCAATTCCTATGTACCTCCTTGCAAGCTATTCCAGCTCCCAAATCTGTCCGCAACCAGCCCGCCAGCCGCGGAACACTTGGCCGTCTTTAGCAGGAGCCGACCGGAGGCTCGAACCACCAGCGCCGCCATCTTACCTCCGGAATATACGAAAAACGGCTACAGGAAGGACCGCCCATGAAGTGTGCCCTTCTTTCCCGTTAGCACTCTATGAGTCACACATGTAAGGGAAAGATGTTCGACTAAGGCCTTAAGCGGCGTGGGCTGGGCCGCGGCAGCAAAGCCGTTTCTTCTCTTTACTTCTCCCCCTATCTGGATCCTAGAAGTGGTACGCGCCAAAATGGCGGCGCTCATGTTTCAGCGTGGGTCACTGGCGAGCAGGACTGCGATGAAAAGTTGGGAGGTGACAGGTGGGTGGCTTCAGCGGGCAAGATGGGGATCTTGATCAGAGAACCTGTCCGTTTCCTACGATTTCTAGTTCTTGTTTTTTTGTTTTCAGCAGATTTATTTTCTTTTAATCAATGGTTTAATATCTGGTGGCCATTTATAGACCATTTATTTGAGCTGACTGGTTCAGGAGTGTTTATTCCTACTAAGAATCTTTGCATAAAATAAAGCTGCACGTCAGGATGCATTCTTTCCTTTTAACATCTACGTAGAATTTATGAAGATAAGATCTCGGCCAGCCTACAGTAGTTGCTTCACCTTCCTATGTGTTGCATTGCATTCTTATTTCAACAGAAAATGTATCACTCCCCATCAAGTCAAATGTCTATCAGATTATAGAACAATGCTAGATTAGTGCCAGTAAGAAGAGAGATTCACGTCAAGCTAATTTATCATTCGTTTCAGTTTGTTGAACATGCTATAGCGGCCTGGTCCAAACATTACTTTGAGCCATGGTTTAGAAACCACAATGCTGGATTCACACATTAAGTTAAAATAAAATGTGGGTTCTGAACTAGCTTAAAAGTATGAAAGAAATATACTTTCTTTCAGGATATAAATCAAATAAATTGTTCTAGCCAATAATCTTTATTGTTGAATGCTAAAATGTAAAACAATGAGACAGCCATAGAGTAAAGGAGGTTTAGATTAACTTTTGATATCTTAATAAACCTTTTGGGGGCAGAAAAGCAGCTCATACTATTCCTTCGTTGATTTGAATAGTCATAGATATAGTGATGCTTTTGTAGAACGGGCATATTGATTTTTGAGTCAAAAACATAGTGGCCAAAATGCCTATTTTCTTTTTTATATCTCAGTGGCTTCCTTTAAACATATCAGTATAACATATATTTGCTAATATGTGTACACTGAAGAAACATAGTGTAATTCTTCAGAAATGTTCAGAAACTAGTTCCATTTTTTTCTTAGAAAGAGAGAGTGGAATATGGTCTGGAGAAATTTGCACCAATTTGAGTAGAACATTGATTGCAAGCAGCTCAGTGGGCGGAATAGTATTTAGTGCTCTCTCAATGAAAGGGATACATTTCAATGAAAGAGCATACAGAGCATTGGTCTATCTACCTCAACAATCTCTACACCACAAATAGAAACCTTTGGGGCAGGTGGCCACATTTGGAAGATTGAGAGTGTGGTCTAAAATGTCACACAAAATAGCTGATGTGAAGGATTTGGCCAATCTGGGGGGGAAAAATCACCAAAACAGCCCAACAACCTATGAAATACTTTGCTCCCTCTTTATTGCTGTAATGCTCCCTGTCATTTTAGTAATTCACCTTTTTAAAATTTTCTAACAATGTATGTACACCATCTATGGGCCCAAAGGCTTTCTGGGAAATAAAGATTCTGCTGCAAGATGGTGCCTTGCTTTGTAGTCTGTTAGCTTTCATCAGTATTGTTTTATTTATTTATTAAACTTGTCCCCACCCATCTCCCCCCAATGGGGGACTCTGGGCAGCTCACAACATATTAAAACAATAAATAGATATACAATTAAAATTTATAACAGTACAC